TTGTACAAGCAATAGTCATATTACTATTCATTCTCTTTTAAAATAATGTTTTTCTTCAATGTCCCTTGATTGTTGTGAATCCTGCAATTTTAACCGTAGGCTGCATGGGAAAATACATGCAGATCTAGGTCAGCATGCAGAAGTACTTTTTTATTAATGAAAACAAAAGGAAATGTCACAGTTTATTTCTCTTTGTACTCCCTTCAAGCGCTCTAGCTTTAAATTGTAGGAAGGGAGTGTTCCTTTATGTATTTTTTTTGGAATACAAGAGATTGATACTATCCCATAAAATTTGTGCTGCAAGTCATAACGGCCATGACAGGACTGATAGTATCAGAAAGCCCGAAGAATAGGTCTTTAACTTTTTTTAGATGTTCAGATTCAAAGTATTTATAAATTAAAATGTGTAGGAACTTGTGTACTCACCAGAGTAGGATTTTGTTATGGGTAATTCAAATGCAGTAGAGCGAGACAACTTCTCTTGTGCGACTATTGTCTATCTCAGCACTCACATAGGAATTCATGAATATTTTATATCAGTGAAGCAAGAAGGACTTTTCTCATAAAATTCATAGCGAAATTCATGTTCAAATATGAGGAAGGTAGCATTCCTTTTATCATAGTTAAAACTCTTCAGGTTAAGCTTTAAGTTGATTTTAAAAATCTGTAGGATGAAAGCTTTTCTTTTTCAGTTCTCAAAGAAAGATATTCATTATATAAGTATGATTATTAATAGCAAACTGGAAATTCAAAAATTTGATTGTTGCATCACAACATAGGAAAAAAAAAAAAAGAATTCTCCATAGAGTTTTGTGCAGTGGTGACAGAGCTCTAAGGCCATCTGTCCCATTCAGCTGTCAAAAGGGAAAATGTTCTATGCAAAGCCTAACTGATGTATTCTGGGATTTTATTCTGAACAATCTGAAACGTTATGCCCCAGTTGCCTTAATTACACTGCAGTGACTTAACACTAACTTCCCTGCATGTTGCAGAACTCCCGTGGAGTTCTTCTGTAACTCCTTTCCTTGGAAGTTTAGCAGCTCCTAAGGATCCTGGCACTATCTCCGTGATGCTGTTAATGGCTGCCCTGCACAATGGCAGGGAGCCTGAATCTGACATAGAATTCAGGAGCATTTCAGAGAAGTGTCATATTTCATTGCATTACCTTGGATTAATTTACACCCTCCTTTCACTAGTCATATGAGTGCAAGAAGTAAATATGGGCTTAATTTTTGTTTGTTTAGTGTTCTTTTGTCTGTTTGTTTACTTAACTTTGTAGAGGTAGTACTGCAGAAAATCTCCACAGGAGTTATTTTATCTGTGTGGAACTTGGTGTGTTCTAAAGGCCTGGCATTCTTTTTTTAATTTCCTCTTATTTTTATGTGTCATATCTATGGAGACCTCAGAAAAGAAATACCTGAGCAAAGTTACTACAATTCATGTGGGTAGGACAGAGAAGTGGTTTGCAGCAGATCACACTGTAAACACTCATTGAGCCCTGAGGTCACACTTATTTACCTGATAAGTAGGTAAGATATATACCAGAGAGAGCATTCTAGAAGTAAGATGTTGTCTTTTCAGCTTCTCATAGAATGTTTTTGAATTTCAAACCAGGCAGATTTTTTGTTGTTGATGTTTCAATGTTTTACGAAGTTAGGCCAAGTCATTTCAGAGACTGAGATAATTGTTTAACTGGGATTAGATGAATATATTAACAGCAGCCACCTAACATTTTAAGGTCAAGCTATCTTCAACCTGCACTATAACCAATTATTTTGAAGGGTTTTTTATTGAGTGCCAAAAGTTCAGTATCTATCATATAGAGTTATTGAGCTTTGGGAGAAGTGAAATTCTACACTTGGCTCCAAGCAGACTGCCCTACAGTCTCTGGAGAGATATAGAAGGCGTTGGCAGATTTCTCCTAACCCACTCACATCACCAGAAATGGAAGAAAAAAACACAACCCAACAGCTGTTGCTTTTTTGGTGACTTTTCTGCATAAACTTTTTTGATATGAGTTACTGAAAAACACTAGATAATGAGATATAAAATAGGCAATTGGCACAATGTTGTTTATCACTCTCTGTGAGCTTTTTTTTTTTATGCCTTTAACTCTCACAAGATATAGCACATGGATGCTAATCACCTGCAAAAACATTTGAATAGTTTAAATGTTGGCTATGGAGATGTACAGTAACCCAAAATGATCACCTATCTTATGCCTTAATAAACAAAGCAACGATCCTCTGGCATAAGTTCACTGTCTGATGTGTCATCACTTAGGAAGTTCAAAATGTCTGGTAGGTTAGGTTTCTAATAATAGCATCAAAGTAATTAGAGGTTTATAAAAGGTTTTTAACACTTGAGATTTCTGACAAATGGACTTACAACAACAATTGGTCAGTTTATCTCCTTTTCTGTCAAATATTTCTCCTTCATTGGAAGATTTGCATGCATTTAAATTGTCTTAAATTTATGCATAACTAGATTAGCTGTTCCTGGCAATCATTTGTTTTGCTTTTCTGCTTTCAGCCATCTCTTCTTTTTTTACCACCTGCTGTATTTGCCTTCTGCTCAGAGTGTGCTGTTGACAGTTACTAATAATGCAGATTACATTTACTTACTATGACAGGCAAAACACTAAGTAAAGACAAAAATATAGTATCTGCTGTTCTTGCTCTCTAAGTAATGGCTTAGAAGCCAAAAATAGATTATAAGAGCATTAATTCATTAACAAAATACGTGCCTTATTGGGCTTAAATATAGGCAGTGTGCAAACCAGAGTAAATGCTACCTCAAACATTTGAGGTATATACCTCATACCTTAAGCAGATATATAGTATGCAGTGCAAAATATACTCGTAGGTCAGTTTTGTATTCTCGGAGTTCATTAGTATATTGCTTAAATATCAATGTTCATAGAATCACAGAATGGGTTGGGTTTGAAGGAACCTTTAAGGTCTTCTAGTTTCAGCCCCCCTGCTATGGGTAGGGACAACTCCCTCTAGACCCGTCACTCCTGGCCTCGAACATTTCCAGGAAGAGGGCATCCACAACCTCCCTGGGCAACCTGTTCCAGAGTATCGTCACTTTCACAGTAAATAATTTCTTCTTAACATCTAATCTAACTTTATCCCCTTCCAGTTTAAAGCCATTACCCCTCGTTCCTGTTGCTACCTCTCATTATAGAAAGTCCCTCCCCAGCTTTCCTCTAGGCCCCCTTCAGGTACTGGAAGGCTGCTATGACTTCACTCTGGAGCCTTCTCCACTCCAGGCTGAAGTGCCTCGACTCTCCAAGCCTCTCCCTATTGGGGAGATGCTCCAGCCTTCTGATCATCATTGTGGCCCTCCCCTGGACCCACTCTTACATCTCAGTGTTCTTTTGTGTTGGGGTCCCCAGAAATGGGTGCAGAACTCCAGGTGGGGGTCTGCTTCAGATCTGTTCTCCTGAGCTCCAGAGTAGCAGGCTTGCTGCAGACTTCAACCTCTTCAGGGAACTGCTTGGCAGGGTAACACTGGATAAAGCCCTGAAGGGACGAGTGTCCCAAGAAAGTTGGGCCATCTCCACCAGCCCAGAAGCAGTGCATCCCAAGACAGAGGAAGATGGGTGAGAATGCTGAAAAGGTTCTGTGCCATTGCTCCATGTTGTATTTGTAGAATCAGAACCACAGAATGGCTTGAGTTGGAAGAGCAGGGTTGCCATCTACCAGCTCAGCTGCCCAGGGCCCCATCCATCCTGGACATGAGCACTTCCAGGGATGGGGAACCACAGCTCCTCTGGGCAGCCTGCCCCATTGCCTCACCATTCTCTGAGTAAAGAAATTCCACGTAATATCTACCCTAAATCTTCTTTCCTTTGATTTAAAACCATTTCCTATGTCCTTCTACTGTCAGATTTGTGTAAAAACTCTCTCTCCCCTGTTTATAAGTTCCTTTTTAGTACTCCCCAGAGCCTTCTCTTTTTCAGGCTCAAAAAACTCAGCTCCTTCAGCCTTTCTTCATAGCAGAAGTGCTCCAGCACTGATCATCTTCATGGCCTCCTCTGTACCAACTTCAACATTTCCACACCTTTCTTGTGCTAGAGGCTACTGGCATGAGTACTGAATTCTAAATGGATTGTTCCATAATTGACATTGTTAATAATTCTTTTATTGTTTATTTTTAATCTAAATCTAGATCAAGACAGAATAATATATTAGTTATAAGTTACATCTCAGATTAAAATATAATAACTATTTTATATGGAAGGAGGAATCATGTAGAGCATCACAAGCAGAAAAGATGTTCAGAAAGATAAATTCTCATAGAAATATAAATGATATGTTGCAGAATGTGTATATTCTAAGGGCAATCAGTGTTTGTGGGTACTCAAATACATAGAATTTCATATTAACTGGAAATTCACTGTATTTTTAAGAAAAAAAAAGAAAAGACGTGTGAATATAAAACTGAAATTGTTTAATTGCTTAAAGATACTGTTTTTCTTGGCTTTTTCAAAGACTTGTCTTATGTATGCAGATTGCAGTGCAAAATATTCTATTTTATCTAGGGAAAGAGGAATTTTTTTCCTGGTGGCTACATTAGACACCTAATTTGGGAATCTCCGTTAATTGCTTAGGCTCCTTACTTATACATAGAATGAAAGAAGGTATCTCCAAAGGGCACCTCAGAGCACTTCAATTACATGGCATCTACTTCCATTTATTATGCAGAGAAATGAGACTTTTAGCATATGGAACAGTTTTCCTTACCTGTGCTTAGAGACAGTGAATTTTAATTTGAGTTACTGGAGTTTTTAAGAAGAGAGATTTCCAGAAAAAGGTATTTGTCAGCTGCTATAAAGATATCTCCAGATTTCTCTCCAGCTGTTGTTAACACAGAGATCTCAGCCAACACCAATCAACTCATTTAATGACTGGTGTAACATCAGTGAAAGGTCAATACAATCATCCAGACTTGGATATTATCAAAAGTTTGTTATTGTTTTTCTTTTAAACCAGAGATGACAGAATCAAGCTTGGAGATTATGGCAGTAGAGAACATAGCATTCGGGAGCTTTGGGAAGGAAGTCAGCTGCAGCAAGAAGGACTTCAGGAATCCGGGCGAAAGAAAATGAAGCAGTAGAAATGAGTATCTTAGCTACATCCCTGAATTCTTCAGAGTCAGTAAAGAGGAATTACAAGGAGCGCTTGCTCAGGTAGGTTGCACTAATTGAAAGGCTTGGGGTCTCAGAAGCTGACATAATCTAGCAGGAAGAAAACAAGAACTAGATAAGAAAATTCATGGCGTAGCTCTGGAAACAGAAAACCTTAACAATCCTTAAATATTGATGTTATCTATCAGTAGGTGTTACAATGTTGCAAAATTCTGCTTTAAATTAGATGGCAAAATAATCATGTGTACATCTGAAACATTGCAGTTATATGATAAGACTGAATGAATATTGTCTGGTATCTCATTCTAATTCAGAAACTCAAGTGTGAAGCTTGTACAGTTTTGTGAATATCTGAATTAGCTATATATTCCCTTGAAAATATTCACAGTAGGAAGAAGAAGAAGGAAACTGACAAAAATGAATGAATATATATGAAAAAATATTTTAGAGAATACTGGACAATATTTGGGGGAAAAAAAAAGAAAAAAGGAAGAGAGATCAGGAATGTTAAAAGAAATTATGAATGTGATGTTTTTATATATGACGTATTTCAAAAATATCAGAAAGGTTTTCAAAGATATCAGAGACAAGAGTGACAGAGATGCAGGATAGAAACTGCAAAACAAAAGCACAAAGGAAAAAAAAAAAAGTTTCCTGACACAAACCGTTCTGTGAATCTGGTTTAAGCAATCAAGATAGCATAGCTTTTCTTTATTACCCATTTCTGAATGATAGCAGATAGGATGCTTTCTATTCCTTGCCTTGGTTTACATGGCCAAGGCATCCTAGTGTGAAATATTTTACTATGGCACTAATACATCTGAAAGACTGCAAACAGAGAGGCCTTCAACTCAAAATGAATTGACACAAAAGCATTTTAAACCCATGTCAGAATATGTTCTTATAATCTATATTCCTCATGCTGCATGCATTCAAAACAGTTTCTACCTTCTCAATACGTAACTACTGAAATGCAATACTAATACAAAACTCTGCCTTGAAACTTTGCTGCAAAATTGTAGAATCACAGCAGAAACTGGAGCTTAGAGTCCCAGGCTTCTGAATTTAACACTCAAGAAGTTTTGGAAATTCATATTCATCATACAAATGTATATGGCTAAGAAGTGAATCTATTTCAAGCACAACACTTTGAATTTTGTTTCACTATATAACTCCATGAGTCAATTTATCTAGCCTTGGTTGCAATTACTGAATATGGACTTCTGTTAAAATATGCTGCTTTATTGTAAATTGTTTTCATGACTGTGATTTCATATTAAATATATTCTTTTTTCTTTTAAAGCTTGTCAGAAATTCCACAGGCACTCACTTTTTTCTCCTAACTTATTTCAGTATTAACAACAGTTTGTGTGATAATGATTATGTAGCACGAAAAATTTCCAAAGAATTTTGTTTAACATTCAATAGTTGAGGACTACTGCACCATAAGGTCACACTTTGCCATCCTAAGTCTTCAAAGTCTTTAAACGTTGTGCAGTTCAGAGAGAGATTATAAAATCATTACTTTAATTTAAAGTAGATTAATGGTCAGAGAACTAAATAGGGTCTTTAAAAAGCTAACCCATCAATTTGGCTTTCTGTACTTCTGAAGCTGTGGAAAAAAAAAAAAAAAGAAAAAAAAAAAAAAGAGTTGGTGATTAGACAAAAGATAGAGAATATGGAGATAGTAGTCTAGTCTAGCATTAATAATAATTTTTACTAAAGGAAGTCCAAACATGAAAGAAATCAGACAATTGTACAACTCATCTAGCTTTTATCTTTTATTTTCTGTGAAAAACAGCCCCCAGAAAGATCTTTGAAAGATTCAGTAACAATAATAGCATGCTATTAATAAAATAAATGCAACAGCAAGATGAAGGAAAAAAATCTAATGACAAGGAAAGGAACATGATAAAAGAAGAAAATATGGAGACAGAGAAGGAAGTAAAGAATAGTAAATCATTCAGTGTTTTCTTTCCTATCTTTTTGTTTTTCCCTGTCCTCTTCCTTTGTTCTTTCTGTGCTATTTGGAGATATGAAGATTGAGTTCCCCTGACTTGAGTTAGCTGACTAACATGCTGTGATTAACTCATCATCTGGCACATTTTAAAAAACATGCTGTATATAAGCTGATCTTCAAGTGGCTTCATAAAATTGCTATGATGCACTTAAAAAATTGCTGGGAACTACTTGTAGAGGCAAAGCAGTACTCTGATGAGCACTGAAATATTTGTATTTCAGATTAGTGCAGGTGGTTGATTCCTGCACAATTCTGTGAATAACTTTTTCACAGATAGGTTGTAAAAGACATTGATGAAATTTTAATTTTCATTAATACCCTTCTTAGTCTCAGAAAAACACAATAGATAACCCCAAATTCCAAAGATAGATAACCCCAAATTCCAAAGAAAACAAGTGAAACCTCTTCCCTATACTGTTGACCATTCATTGTTTATTTCTTTTTAAAATAAAGTATATATTTACACTTTCTGGCACTAGAGTTTAACACTTTAAACAATATATCGGTTCACCCATCTTCAAGAACCCAACATCCTATTCTTACCTCTCATTAACAATGCAGATATACTACCATTTAACTGTTAAGAGACTGACAAGAAAGTAAGATAAGCATAACCTAATATGGCATCAGTGAGTGGTATAAATAAGCACTGAAATCAGACCTATAACTTATTTTCAGGATAATCCAGAATTTTAATTTCCCCGTACTGTTTTTATTTCCCAAGGTTTAAAATTATTGTTAATATTTTGTTATTACTCTGCCAGTAAAGCAAAACAATAGTTTTGTCTAGATCAGAGATAACTTTTTATTATAAATGAACTTTTCGTTCTGACTGTCATGTCATACTAACCTTTTTTCCCTTTGAACTTGAATCACAACTAAATTCTCAGCATATGTGGTATCAATGCTCTCAGAACCCTTTTTAAAAATAAATACTTCTGGTATGGAGAGAATTAGATTCTATGTTTCAGGTAGTCCCAATGACTTTTCTGTTCATATCCACTTGTGACATCCAGTCCTGTTTATTACCTACTAGACACTGCATGTTTCAGAAATCTCAGCTGGGAATATTTGGAAAGTGCAAAAAAAACCAACAAAAAAAAACAAAATAAAACAAAACAAAACAACAACAACAACAACAACTAAAAGAAAATAAAAAAAAATAAAAAAACTATGGAAAATACTTTAAAACTTGCAACGTTATTTCAGTTCTTCAAAAGGTGCTCCAAATACGAATACACTGCCTGCAATAAGTCAGTAAGTCAGTAGTGGATTTGAATTGTCATAGCTTATGCTCCACAGGAATTATATCAGCGTTAGCTACTTATGTCCAATATTTCATCAATCACTGGCAGTATTTCAAAGCAGCAAACTAGTAAATTTACTGTGGCATCTTCTAAGGTAATAGGAAGTCAAAGCGTTTGTTTTGGACAATGAATTCCAGATGGGAAAAACAATTAAATACGATTGTAGCAGATCATTGCATATCCTGTCTGTTTTCATAAAGAGAAAAATCTAGAGTACATTTTATAGAGCAGATCAGGATAATAAATGCAGAAATGCATATTTTCTTTTACTAGAACATTGACTGCATTTTAGAAAAATAGCACCTTCTTAGATCATTACTCATTAGAAAATTATGCTGTTACCAATAGATGAATATGATTCTAGAACTACCATTTGTTCTGAATTTCTCCCTAAATAAAAATCATGGAATCACACAGGTTGGAAAAGACCTCCACGATCATCCAGTCCAACTGTCTACCTATCACCCATAGTTCTCTCTAAACCATGTCCCTCAACACAATGTCTAAATGTTCCTTGAACACCTCCAGAGTTGGTGACTCCACCAACTCCCTGGGCAGCCCATTCCAGCACCTGAACACACTTTCAGAAAAGTAGTATTTCCTAACATCCAGCGTGAATCTCCCCTGGCACAACTTGAGGCCTTTCCCTCCAGTCCTATCACAAGTAACATGAGAAAAGAGGCTGACCTCCAGCTCACTACAACCTTCCTTCAGGTATTTATAGAGAGCAATAAGGTCTCCACTGAGCCTCCTCTTCTCCTGACTGAACAATCCCAGCTTAAAACAAATTGAAAACCTACAGAAATAGTAAATATTAATAGAAAAATTTTGCTGTAAATCTTCTCAGAGATTCTTAGAGATTTCCACAGTCAACGAAAATGTTGAAAAGGGGAAAAAAAAACACCAACCAATTGAATAAGAAAAATCTCTGATGCTGACCCAGATTTGAAGTCCTGTAATGAAATTGTAACCCAACCAACTATCCCCTTCTAAATTAGTCCTTTTTCTGAGAGAATTTTTAATTTAATTTAACTTGTTTATTTATTTATGTTAATTTTAGCTTGGTAGGGTCACATGGTGCTTATTTTGCTTGCTTCTCAAAGTAAATATACCACACGCTTATTTCAGACAATGAAAAATGTAAACATTTATGGAAAAAAATCATATTCTTGTGGAAAAGAAAAAAAATATTTATAGATCTCACTAAATTTTCCATGCATGCATAACATATTTACAAAACTGTGAATATAGGCAGTACTGAAATAATTTCATGTGTTCTGAGTGTTTTCTATTTCTGTTCAATTTTACTTTTAAAATCTTTTTAACTAATATCTAATTTGTTAGAGCTTTTTGATTTTTTATTGATCCTATAATTTTCTTTTTCAGTTAGTAAGTGAATAGTGGGTATGCAACATCAGATTACTAATTTATACTTCTTTTAATATTATCAGCCTAATGCCAAGCATTTAAATATCCCTGAGAAGAATTTAGATATTTCTAAGATGTGCCATGTAAAGCAAGAATTGAGTTTTGCATCTAACTCCAATTGCCATAAGTTTGAGCTTCAACTTAACATATGAACTATATGACTTGACTTTATTCAAAATCTGCATTCAAATGTACTTGTCTCATCCTTTTTATCTCTGATGTACTTTTCAAAAGAACAGGTGATCATTTTAAACTGCTGCAATCTAACTTTTCTAGTCTGAGTACCC